ACCTTTGAAAAGATATGGAATGTAACTTTTACAGCTTAATCCGTAAGAAAGGTGGTTTAGAAAGATCTGGAATAAAAACTCTATGGCTCAAGCGCCAAAGTTGGAGATGGGCACCACCCTAGACAATTTATAAATACATACCTCATTGAGTGGAGGATCAAATATGTAGTAGTAGAGTAGGAATGCGTTTGTGACACTCGAGAAAGATGCTTTCATTGTATTGCAATATTTTAGAGTAGCTAAACTCTATCGTATCGAGATTGGATGTAATCAGGTAGTGTGTGTGGCCATGGAGGTGCAATTGGTCTTTGAGATTACTTTGGTCCTCCATGGAGAAGTAATGAATCCTTTAGTCAGGAGGTCTTGAGGAAGATGGAGCTTCAAATGAAGGAAAGAATCAACCAACACATGATAGTTATGAAGCAACGCTTAATGGAACAATTTCAACAACAACAACCAATACAAAGAGTACTTGAAGAAAAGCTTATGTCCATGACGCAATAGAATGTGAAAATTACCTACTGAAGCTCCAACAGGATGTCGTGTGAACACAAAAGGCTCATGCTTTGTTGTAGATCATACTGACTACACTTGTTAATACGAACTTTTGGTTTATGGAGATCCCTTGCACAGAGTGGCCATAGGACGTCAACTTGAAGGAGGACAAACTAGTTATGGTGCTCCTTTACTATTCCACTACTTGTGTGCGACCATTGATCATGTCATACTTTGACCCATCATAAATATTATATTGTTATTCTTAGTATTTTTATGTAACATGTTATAAAGAAATGATTCATATCTTTAAAAATATATATTTTAGTTCCCTCGTCCTACGAAGCAGGTCATGTGTCAACCTATTATCCATGAAGATGATGACATGACTGAAGCATAGTATGATCCTCTAGGAAAGCTCATAAAAAAATTAAACAAGTTGAATAAAAGGATTGATATAACTAGGAGTTAAGAGTATTTGGCCTCTAATGTTATGTGTCATTATACATTACTTTAAATGAGGCACTAGAGGTCATTGGAGGAGACAAAATGTTCAATATTTCAATCATACAACTATGTGCATGTAATATTTTTCATTGTCATCCATATTTAAATCTTGGAATTGATACTTTTTATTATATACTAATTGTCTTGTTATAGATACATGGACACAATCATTGTAGACTAAAATCGAACTTCCATTTATGGATTTATTGAACTTCAGACCATTCAATCTCCAGGAAACACACTTGAGTACAAACAAACTTATTTCCAAACATGAATGTGAATAAAAAGGATGTACCTTGCGCCATACATTAATGAGTAGGTGTTACTAAATGTAATATTTTATGAAGTAATAGTAATTAATCGATTAACAATTTGTGATTCATGGTAGGGCTCATTGACAACTAATGATCATCATACCAAGACAATGCACAATTATATGTTTTTGTTCCCTAGACAAGAAGATGAAACCTGAGTTGAAATCCATGTTATTACAAACGTAAGTGTTGCTTTTTTTTTCTTCATATCATCTACTTAGTTATATTAATACTAACCTATGTTTCAAATGTTTCCATCTTAATTAGAGTTGTGGCAAAGTCCAAAGCACATGTTGAAACTCATTCATCTTAAAGTTACTAATTTCGCATGTCAATTTATGACCTTGATATGTCATTATTTTCTTTCACATGTTTTGTGTAACAAACAACTAAGTTCACGTGTATGTGACTATTATGTCATGTATTGGATAAAAATCATCATTCAAGCATGAATTAGAAAAGAATGGATTAAGTTAAAAGTATATACCTTTCACATATTACAAATCACATCAAACTTTAAACATTAGTATCCATACATAATAAAGTTATGTTATTTTTTCAGTAAATTAAGAATACATCACCTATAACGGATGACACAATAAAGAAAATAAGAAAAAAATGAATAATGTATCTCGTGAAAAGATGGAGTTAGGATCCACAATAGTAATAGTATTTTGCTTGAAAACTATCTAGAATAAGTTTTTATTATGAAAGTCTTAGTTTTGGTTTAATAGTTTTAGCTAATTTTAGTGTTAGTAGTTATTTGTGCCAATAGCTTGAATTTGATAAATATAATCTATGGTGAAATTTTTTTGAACTATGATGGAATATTTTTTTCTTTTCAAATTTAGGTAAATTGTAAATATAAAAAAAACAGCATTTGACATATGTTAGTGACATACATAAAGGAGATTGAATTATATCATAGTCTGACATTCTTTGACGCGCACTAATACACATAAAGTGCTTCCAATTTTTAGTTAGAAATAATGTGAATTGAACATCTATGGTAATACCCGTGACTAAGGCTTTGTTCTTTTCTAATGATTTGGGAGAGATGATTTGAATGGATTTGAGGGTAATTTTGTTTGTTGTTTTTTTGAATGGATTTGGAAGTAAAGTTTGTGAAAATTAGTGTAGGATTTGATTGATGTGACAGATTTAAAAAATTTGTTTAATTGATAGAAATTAAAGATTACCAAAATGTCCCTAATTATTAAAGTAATATAAAATAATATTTGTTAATGTTATATTTAATTGTAAAAATGTTTATAAAGAGTAAAAATTTTAAAATAATTTTTAAAATTAATTTTTAAAAGGTAAAAAAAATTATAATTTAATAAAATAAATTTATTTTTAAATGTAATATTTGTTTGTAATATAATTTATTACCAAATAGTATGAATTTATTTGTTATGAAAGTAAGATTGACATAGGTAATGGAGATGTATGGACGGAAAAAAAAAAGGTGCATGAAAAATATGTTGATTTAATTTCTAACAATACCAAAACATGCAACATGGGGTGTATGAATGAAAGCCATGGGTGACATACAATATTCTTGGTTCAAGCCCAAAGTCACTTTACCTTCAGATTACAAACCTAGGGTTTCTTCTTTTCTCCACAATTTTTCTCATGTGTCCGATCCCCTCTCACAACAAAAGGCTTGCTACACTTTCTACACCAGAAAGCTTGGACATCTTCGACTCCCACTAATGTTCAGCCAACACCTTCCAAAGATGCTTCCACTTGAATATATCACCATTGGAACAATTAAATCTTCATTCCGCGCCCAAATATATCCATTTTCTTTTCAAGTGCTCTGTAATCAAGATCTTCGTCTCCTTCTTCCTGCTCTTTGTCCAAAAACTCTAGTCTGAAGTACTTCTTCACCCTGTTGGGATCAGATTTTCCTGCAGCTCCAATTGATTCAATAATCTTCAAATTCTTGTTTTGCGTGGCCAATTGACGAGCTGCAGCAGCTGCAGAGGCATCTTGACCAAGCTGCAGAATCAAACGTTGCCTGGAATCGGATACGCCAAGTCCGTAACCGAATACGCCTGCTTTGCAACTTCTTCCAAATGTTGGAATCAGATACGGTATTCTAAGATGACTGAATATTGTCATGGAATTGATCAAATAATACAAGGCAACTAAATCATCGCAAATCGCATGTTTTTCTCTCTTTGCAAATCACCGCAAATCAGTGCAAGCGAACTTTACTTCTCTCATAAATCCATCCGCGCTAATCACCATAAACAGGAAATCACCTTCAAAGTAACACAACCAATGTTTTGGACTTCCAAATAATCAATGTTATTGGATTACCTATTTTCAAGACTGATATTAATTTGATGTCTTCAGTTAAAATGTTAGAATTTCTTCTGAAATAAAAAATTGAAAATAACATACATCAAAAATCATTTTTCCTGAGCATGTAACGTTTGACCTCATCCATCATAAATATGTTAAAAAATTCATGATCAACATTTTATATTAGAGTTGTTTGTTATACTTATTGCGTTAGAATGAGACAGAAATTGTTTTCTATCACCTATCACCTAATATTTTAATATATATAATATACATTTTTTCCATAATAATTTTTTATATTTAATGAATTTAGGACCACCTATGTAAAGTCTATTTTGTTTTATCCTACATGACAAAACTCCACTCACTACCAAAACGGAAGAGATTGTTGGCGTATTCTACATTTTTTACTAATAAACAACATTAATCTTTTTAGAAAATAAATGTAAATAAGTTTCGTTGAAAATGTAAATTTAAACAAGAATGATTTTAATTTATAAGTGTAAATAAAAAATATAAATTTATAAAATTAAATTCTAAACAATTCTTCTACTTTTATTATTTTTTTTTCAACTGTAATTTTTGCTTTGATAATTTAATTCTTAAATGAATATTTTAAAAAAAATACTACCAATACGTAGCATATATTCATAAATATAGACGCTATTATACCTTTCCCAATAATATACGCTATTAGAATATATTGATTTAAAAATACCTATTTTATATGTAATGCGAATTTCACAGGGTGAAATGTTTTAGCTATTCGTATTCATAATCCGACAATTTATTAGGAGAAGTTACCGGCGGCGAATTGGCGATCAGAAAAATGCCCCCAAGTCGCCCCAATTAGCCGAATTCAATTGCCAATTTAGCCGAAACATGAGTAAATGTACTAAAACGGCTTCAAAAGTCACTTTTTAAGCAGTTATGGTAGAAAAACATGGTTAAGAGATTCCTTTCTGATTTTCAAAATACGAATAGATCTTACACTTCAATTTCAACACACAATCAATCAAAACAAAACTCATTTTCTGCAGCATTTTATCTCCATTTCATCTTACCGGTTGCTTTTACAATTAGAGAAATAATATTATGGTACTACTTTACTGATACAGCAACTGAAATGTCACACAGGAATGTACATCTCATTCTGATGCAAGTTATTCCTATCCATATATATATATATATATATATATTGAAATTTATTCAGTGATAGACATTAGAATGTCAATTCATGCACTTATTGATCTCGATCTTCTAGGAGTGTCAGACCCTGAACATAATTAAGAAACGATAAAGAAGCAAAGTTAGTAGTATGCATAAAAAAAGCAAATTGAAGGAGATGCAAATCACTTAAGTTGCTATTAATTACTTGTTGTATTCAATTTGAATTTTTCCAGCATTGAGGTCAGCGATTGCAGAGAAAGCTTCTTGGGAGAGATCAATGGTGGCTTGGCAACCTGGGGAAGGACAACGATCAACAATCTTCACAGTAACACTGCCACCCTTGCATGGCTGAGGCACACCTTGGTTGGTGGCACCTGTGCACGAGATCTTGTACATTTGACCACATGCAGCTCCGTTCGCATATATTGCGTCGCTTGCAGCAGCTATCATCGTTCCCTGATCTTGGTACCCGTAGCATGCAGAAGCTGCAAAGTGAAGTTCATGGTAAAGATGCATTTTATATGACAGTAAAACGAAGGAATTCTGCAGAATGCATAAGGAATAGCTGCTGCTACTTACGTTTGTAAACTGTGTAGTAAGTTGCAGTTCCAGAAATAGCAGATGTAACTGAGATAAGGCTTATGAAGACAAGCCCCATCACAAACACTGCGCTCATTTTGTTCTCCATATTACGGAATTAATTGTGGTATTTGGTAATGTGAACTTCAATCCTTTCCCAAGTAGTTTGAGAATGTGTTCTGTTCTGCCTCAATTGAGATGATATCAGTACCCTTTTATAGGCAGTTTCGTAACATTTTCTTTGGATATAGCTAGGGTTCCGATGACTTGACTAAAGTTTTTTCTGATAGAAATGTGCTGAAAGAAATATATGGATATTTGACAAAAGAAGATAAAACTGAAAATTTATAACTTAATTGAAAATAATCTCTAATTGAAAATTAAACGTTACTAATTTTAGAAAATAAGCTTTAGTGGAAGGTTAATTCTAAAATTTTATGCGAAGTTGTCTAAATTTTTAATTTTTTATTAGTCAAAATAAATATATTAAATAAGACAATTGAATTGCATCAACCATGTACAAATAATAAAAGTCAACAATATGACTCTCTCTCTCTCAATATGATGTCATAGTAAATGTTTTTTACTTAACATTGAAATCAAAGACTAAACTTTGCAGCATGTTTATTTGAATATAACAAGGATTCCCATTCTTTTCAATCTTTCAAAATTATAATTTTCATAATTATTTTATATTTTGTGACTTTTCGTTTTTAAGCTTTCAAATGATATCAGAGCAAAATAAAAGTTTGTATTTATGTATATTAATTTATTAATTAATGACAGGTTGAATCAAACAAGTTAAATTAATATATTAACAACAAATATTTAATGACTTTAAAGATAGAAAAACAAAAGTTTTTTTATATAATTATAATATAAGGAGTGTCAACTCTTTTAAAATTCTAAGAACTCATTTAGGAATGCATTTTTATTTATTTTTTCTAATAATCATTTTCATAAAAGAGATTATATTTCGAGATTTACATTAATGTCTTTTATGATAAAAAGAAGGTTTAATGTCTCCGTAGGTCCCTATTTTAGTCATGAATTTCAAATAGGTCCTCTTTCTTTTTGGCGTATCAATTGAGTCCTTGTTTTTGTAAAATTGAATCAATTAGAGGTCTGCTGTTAAATTGGACAAACGGCCGTAACAGTATTGGTTACGTGGCATGGTCAGTGCAGTTACTAATCGAACGTGGCATGGTCAGTGCAGTTACTAATCAGACGTGGTATTTAAAAGCATTTTTGTATTAAATAAAGAAGAAGGAACAGTTTAATTGAGGAATGCAACTGAGATTGGGGAAACAAATTGGGGGTTTTTATTATTAGGGTTCGCGTGAGGGAAGAAAAATCGCGATCTTTGTTCGAGCTGAAGCGGCAAGGTTCGTCGGTGAAGAAGATGTAGTTGGAAGCGACATAATGCATGCAGGGGTTTGTGTCTCGGTAGGTCAGGTGTGGGTCCTTTTGTTGTTGGAAGCAAGAAGCTGAAGCACGTGGTAAGTGGAGGTTAATCTCAAGGAAGGTCAGTGTTTGTGCTTTATTGTCTTTGTTTTTATTGATGAGAAACTACAATATTCGGTGGTGGTCCCCCATTGATGTATGGTTTGGTCTCTGGTTTTGATTGCATTTCGGTGGTCTCCCATGTATGTTTAAAGTTATTTGACTTTGTCTGAGTGCGTATGTTTAAAGTTATTTGGTCTCTGTGCCTGTTTTAATATATATATTTTTTGTCGTCATATGTTTTCATAATAGGTCTGTAGATATATTTATGTTGTGTTGTGCGTAATGGAGGACGCTATTGAGTGTGTTTTCCACCATGGAGGAAAGTTCATTAATGATAGTACCCTAAAGTATGAAGGGGAGACAACAACTTTGTCCTTTGACCCTGACATGTGGAGTTTTTTTGTGGTTATCAGTGTAGTGAAAAGTTTAGGATATGAGAATTTTAAAGATTTATGGTACTGTTTAGGAGGGGGTTTAGTGTTGGAAAATAGGTTGGAACAATTGATTGATGACATAGGTGCCATGCATATGGCTAACTTAGCTAGGCTTAATGGTGAAGTTCATTTATACGTTGTCCATGTAGTTTCTGATCCCGAAGTCATTCATATGCTTGAAGACATTACTAATGATGAAGGAGAAGTTGAAGGTAATGGTGAGGGTGAAGAAGATGGTGATGGTGTTGAAGTAGATGGTGGAGTTGATGGTAACTTAGAATAAGAGGTGAATGAGGGTGGAGAAGATGGTGATTCTGTTCAAGTAAATGGGGAAGGTGATGGTGACTTACAAGAGGTGAATGTTTGTGAAGAAGCTGGTGACGGTGTTGAAGTAAATGGTGTAGTTGATGGTGACTTAGAAGAGGTGAACAACGGTGAACAAGATGGTGGTGCTGTTTAAGTAGATGGTGAAGGTGATGGTTTTATAACATTAGTAAATTGAATTTTTATTTACTCTTTAAAAACCATTCTTCTATTTTCATTTAATCTTTAAAAATAGTTATAATCTTCATTAAAAAGTCATTATTGAAAATTTTAAAGAATTATTATTTATTATTTACTAAAATACATAAAAAAATATAATGTAAAAAATATAAATATTAAAATAGAGGGGTTTGCTAACACGCGTACGCCTGTTTTTCAGTTGGTACATTTTAGCAATGTGTACCGAGTTTTAGTAGACAAAAATATCGTTATATATCATGGATTCTAAGTTTTAAGGTTAAGGGTATTTTAATAATTTTCATTCTCAAAACTAAAAAAAAAAACCCCAAACCCTTACTCACCTCTCTCATTCCTCTCAACCATTTCTCTTTCCTCTTTCTCACTCCAATCTTTTCTCTGTCATCCCTACTGTAGCCCCAATTGAAAAAAATCAGAAACACTTGCCGTTAAACAATCTTACAAAAAATGATTTTATAATGAGTTTTCATCTTATAATTTTTGTGTTATCTAATTTTATCCAATTTTCACAAGCATAAAAGAATTGGTAATTGACCTGGAAAAAATCAGAAATACTCGCTGTTAAACAATTTCTTACAAAAAATGATTTTATAATGAGTTTTTATTTTATAATTTTTGTCTTATCTAATTTTATCTAATTTTCACAAGCATAATGACATCAAAGGAATTGGTAATTGGCCTGGAAAAAAATTAGAAACACTCAGTTGTTAAACAATTTCTTACAAAAAATGACTTTATAATGAGTTTTCATTTTATAATTTTTGTCGTATATAATTTTATCTAATTTTCACAAGCATAATGACATCCGAAAGAATTGGTAATTGGCCTGGAGGGTTTTTTTAGAGATGATGATTCAACAAATACAGATGATGAAATTAGAGAGGTTAGTGAAGATGGTGAAATTGAAGAGATCTTGAATGAACCTTTGCCTGAAAGTAAATATGTCAATGACTCAACTCTTTACAAATCAATTGGGGCTACAGTAGGGATGACAGAGAAAAGGTTGGAGTGAGAAAGATGAAAGAGGAAGGATTGAGAGGAATGAGAGAGGTGAGTAGGGGTTTGGGGTTTTTTTTTTTTAAGTTTTGAGAATGAAAATTATTAAAATACCCTTAACCTTAAAACTTAAAATCCATGATATATAAGGGTATTTTTGTCTATTAAAATCCGGTACACATTGCTAAAATGTACCAACTGAAAAACAGACGCACTCGCGTTAGCAAACCCCTAAAATAAAATGTAAATTTTGTTTTTCTAAATTTTGTTATAAATAAAACAATAAATAAGCAAATTTAATCATTTAATATACCAACTATTCTACATAATAATTAAATATTCAAAATCTGAAAACAAAATTCACCACACAAAAATGACCACACACTATTTTAACTTTTTTTACTTTTTATCTTTTGGAATTTTTTAACATATTTCAAAACCCTAATTTACCTCTCACTTTCACTCCTACGGTAGTTGCCCCCACCACCACACCACATCTTTCACTCTTCTTCTCTTCCCATCTTCGTTCAAGGTTTTCTTCTTCCTTCTCTTTCTTTTTCTTTCAACCTTCTCTTCCCCACTTCTCTTTTCCTTTGCTTCTTTCCATTGTTGGTGTTGATTTGGAGGAGCGTAGATCTAGCTGTGGATCTGGTTTTTCATCTCCATCCCAGGTTAGTTTAACCAATGCACGCACCACCGCACCCGTGAGATCGACAACGCTTGATCAATTCTTTCTACCACCACCAACCTTTGCAACCTCTCACTAAGTATACCACCAAATGAAACTACACTGTATATTCTCACAGCGAAACAAAGAGAGGAAGAAGTCCAATATTAAAATGAAAGAAAAGCTTCTTGCTCATGTAGGGGACTAGTAATAGGTCATTAGTGGAATGGGTTGGGAGGAGATAAAAATTCAAAAATAATAACCCTAAAAATAAAATTTTACTAAAGGACAAAACAGTAAAGGAAAGGTGGAGGAAGCAAGGGGTGGTAGTGGAGGGAGCAACACCCTAGGTTTGAATATATAGTTTGGTCTTGAATATTGACGGCCCAAGATATTGTTTACCAATATTGTCAATTTATATATTATATAATAATAACATTATTTTCAGTGAAAATTGATTTAATATTTTATTTAAACCAACGGAAAATATAAACTATGAATTTTATATTTAGACTAATAATTGGTGCTATATTTTTTGGTGTCATTTTAGTTGGTGCCAAAATAAATAAAAAGACAAGAACAAACTCATTTTATTTGTCGAATTTTGTAACCCTTAAAAATTTACATTAGAGTTTGTTAACATTTTTCTCGTTATCATTTATGAATGTATATGTCCACTAAGTTGTTCTCCCACACTTTTTTTATCACTTTTTCTTTAATTTGTATACCTCCTTTTTAATCTTATAATTCGTGTTTTGTGTATTCAAATAGTGAATGCATTCTTCTCTTCTATTTCTATAATTTTTTTTATCAAAAAGAAATTCTCAAATTTCTCTTGCTCCTAACATCTTATCATTAATCTTTTTTTTATCTCATCTTGATTTGTTTTAACTTATTATTTCTCGAGATAAAAAGCCACTCACGAGAAAACCGCGGATAGAGATTTATCATTAATCTTTTTTTATTTTTTGGTAACCTTTCTGTCTTCTATTACTAGTTTAGTTTGTATTTTGTAACTGTCTGTTTTTTAACGGTTAGTTTATGGCCAATTTGAATATATAAGACGTTGTTTTATTTAAAATTTTGTGAATATATGGACTCTAAATCATGTATAGCATATCGCCAGCTCAATAAACAGTTGCTGGAGAGTTCACTTATTATACCGTATAATTTATGGAGCATAAACAACAACAGGGCTCCTTGCCTTAAAAGTGCCATCGTCCCAAATCATAGAAAAAGAAACCAAATCTGCATTAATGCTTCCTTCAATCTTAAGGGTAAAAGACAGCTTCTGACCCAACGATGAGAAGGCCAAAACATTTGGCACTACTTCGACCTTCAAAGAAGATGGATGTGCAGTTATCGTGGCCCTATATTTGGATGTAGCTGATCCAACATTTGTAACAGTTCTATTAAAAGTGACATTGTTGTGGCTTGAGCGAGGGGTTGATAGAGTAAAAGACGGGAGATTAAGGTCGAAAACCGATCCTTTATTTGCTGATGTGCAAGTGCTCTTATCTCCTGTAATTAGTTGCAGCGATGATGAATTGTAACCTTGTCCACACAGAAAACTAATATAATCGTTTTCACCAGCATCATAAACTAGTCCAGGATTTGCTGCCTTCAAAGGATTGATTTGCCCCGCACCGTAAGCAAATTCAGCATCTAAATCAACTGTAGGATTCATAGGGGTAGCTGCAAATAATGAACAAACATATTTGGTCCTTAACATGTATACTTGGACATTAAGTTGTACCACAAAATAACACGTTAATTATCTAGTTTTTCCCGACAGAAATGTTTAAGGTGGTATAGGGCATATGGTTTTAGGTTATCATACTTTACTTTCTCTTCGCAGCCTCATTTCTCCTACATTTTTCAAGGGTTATAGTCTGCAAAGTTTGATAACTACATTATATTATGTATTACCAGTTGTCATCAACGCGGATTTTATTGCAGCAGGAGACCAGTTGGGATGATTAGATTTGACGTAAGCAGCTGCTCCAGAAACATGAGGGCATGCCATGGAAGTTCCAGATATTATATTCAAAGTCGATACTCTTGTATCTCCTCGAACACCAGAAATAGGTGAAACCGAAGACCATGCAGCCAGAATATTAACCCCTGGAGCTGCTATGTCAGGCTACAACATCAACAGAAAACATAGATATAAGCAAATAAGCTTGAATCGGTTGGAATGATTTTACACTGTAACATGAAGTTACCTTAAGAATGTTTGGAGTGACTGTATTTGGACCTCTCGCTGAGAATGTAGCAATGTAAGGGGCTGATGAATCTTTTCCTTCGATACTTTTGAATACGGTAGCTGTTGGATTTCTACAACAATCGGTGACATGACATATAAATCAGATAATTAAGACTAAGTGAACAAAATTATAGAGCAGTTATGTATGATGTTTTATAGATTGAAGAAAAGTTTTGTACCTCGTTGACTTTAAATAAGAAGATACAGAATTCCCATCACTTGGGGTAATTTGAATTGTTGGCATTGCAAATGCCTCTACCGAAACTGAAGTCAATGTAGCAGTGAATATAAGACCAGCAGCCCCAGAAGCTAATCCCACATATTGAGAAGGAGTATAGCCATCACACAAAACAATTTTCCCTTTCACCAAAGCTCCATCCAAATCATTTTCACGGCAAAACCTATGCAACGCTAATGTTAGAATGGACTTTTGAATAGTAATAGAGCGAAAGATTAGTAACAAACTACCCATATAATAAGGTTAAATTACTTTTTTTAATTCCTTCAATTATTTATAAAACTCTATTTTCCCTCTCCAGATATGCTCAATTTAATCACTTAATTTTCTAACAAAAATCAAATATTGTCTTCTCCGTCTGAATATAGTTGATTGACCGCATAAAGAATGTGCTAAACTATACTTTGTTACAAATTACAATCTAAACTATACATAGATGCAATCACAGAAGCACTACAATATTTTAATTAAATTACTTTTTTTATTTATTAAACTTATATTTTATGTTTGTAAATTAAAATTTGAATTCGTTACAAAGCGTTGACTCATTAATTCAATTCTTTAACTGTGTCAACTTGATTAGATGGAAAATGAATATTGAATAATTGAAAAAAGGCATAATACCCAATTTTGTCCCCACTTTGGTTCGGAAATCTCAAGTTATTCCCTTTATAGAAAAGTGAGTTGAATGGATCCTTACTTGTAATTAATTGACTCTAATTAGTCCCTTCCGTTAAATAGATTGAAACGGAGTTAGTGGACTGATGATGTGGCAGTTGTCTTTGATGATGTGGCAGTCATTTGGTGGGCCCCTACTCCCAACCAGAGGCCTCACGGACGGCACCACCCTCTTTCTCTCTCTAACTTTTTGTGAGATTACGGTCCTAATACAATTATGGCATAATCATTTTCATACCTGGCTGTAAAGTTCACTCTTTTTCCCTTTTCTTTCTCTTTTCAATCATACTGCTACTATTTCCCAACCAGTCAAACTCGCGTTTTTCTTGTCCCCTTTTTTTCTTCCTTCCCTAAAATTTATTATCTAGTAATAGTACTAGGTAGTAGTAAAATAAAGGAATGCTCCGTCATCAAACAATGACGCATTGAAAGTTACACATTATCTTCTTGTTGCAGAATATTATTCATTCTATTTCAAAACCTACTAGTGCAATCAGCTTCTGTTCAGAAACTAAGTCATCCAGTTTTAACCATACTTCTTCCTTTTATTTATATATTCCACCTTCTGTTTACAAAATTCATTGTTTATAAATTTTACTTTCCATAATTAATCTTAGCTTTTTACAATGAAAGTAATTCAATTGAAATAAACTAACGTTTTTAACCCAATTCTAAGGTTGTGAACACACATTTGGTAACTGTAACAGAGATTTATGCTTTAGCTTAGTTGAAACTGTTTCTTGATTGGGTGAATTTATACCACTACTTAGTATATATAGAGTGAGAAAGACAGAGAGAAGGAGAGAAAGAGAGAAAGAGAGAGAGAAAGTGGTCCACAGAGTCTATGGCTGTCTGACCCTCATCTCAGAAACAGCCGTGTTAGATAAGGAGAGAAGGAAAGAGAGACCAAGGGAGAAAGATTCTATAAACCATTATTCTCTTCTCTCTTCATTTAACTCTTGTTTCACAACTATGACTTTCCTTTCAGCACGATTCACATGAAAAGCCAATTTCAATTTCTTCCCACACGTATATTCCTTTTCTTTTTCTGTGTCTCAAACCACAAAATCAACTCC